CGCATGAGCAGTAGCCGATCATCGGCAAAATAGTGGCGGCGCGAAACACATGCGCCCAGCCTATTTAAACACAGCTAATCTATACACAGCAGTGTTGACATTCTTCTGAAGACGTGCTGTTGCACAAAAGGCCTAAGGAATCAACATGCTGTGACGTTTAGCCTCCGGAGCCACATGCTGGTCCGGCTGCCATCTTAACTACTGGTCAGTGTACCTTATTTTACTGTCAACTTTCTGGATTTAATAAATTTACAATTTTTGGCAATATTACAATATGGGCACTTTTCTTATGACTCCTTTATGGAGCCTTTAAGTATGAAGAACCTGGGAATTTCATCAGTATCCAGAGAAGGGGAATTCCTGTAATCAGGTGGCTGACCCTGCTGATCCTTAAGGAGACCTCTGCAGCAGACTTCACCCATTCACTGCACAGCTGCCCAATAGGAGACAGATGTCCCAGATACATACTTCACCACCCTGAAGTTTCTGTAACGGATATATTAATGCGCGTAACCTATGCGCTTCTGGTAAGCGCATAATTTTATCATTTCCTTGGAGCACCAATAGACAGATATGAATACTGGCACTATTTATTGAACTGACCTTATATTGGGTTATACTGTGACTTTGTTTTTATTCAATTTAGCACTGCACTTTATTACTTATTATATTCTGGAGGTTTGTATTTGGTTACCTGAGTGTATCAGCTGCTATAATGGAGAGCGCTCACTACCGCTATATTTTACACAGCAGGTACAGTTGACAGAGGGAAGCTGTCATTAACAGAATCAGTAGAAATACCAAATGGGCAAAAGTTTGGGTGTTCACCCAAATGACCATATGTACAAAGTTTGGTCTAAACCTACTTTCGGACCAAATCATTTGCTCATTTAGAAGAGAAAAGTCCAGCCTTTGACATCAGAATAACGTGCCAAATTTTTCATATGAAAATAGTCCATATTTGAAATGTCTGGGGTACTAGAGTCCTTGGCAGCATCTGCATTGCCTAATTGATTGGGGTGCCAATAAGCACGACTTCAGTCTTCCCACAGTTTAATTGAAGGAATTGTGGGCCATCCAGGTTTTTTAATCACAAAAATAGTTAGACAGAGAAGCAGGCAACTTGAATTTGATTTCTTTTTTAGTAAGCTGCGTGAATTTATTTCCTGCTTAGAAAATCCACATTTGCTCATTAACATTATGTCACTGCATCATCGCTTGTGTAAAAATATTAGTTTAGCATCCTGCTAAGACCATATATTTGAATTTGTATTTGGAAATTACTATCCCTTTGTATGAAACATTCTGTTGTTTAAAATCTGCACGTTGAGCCTGCAATGTTTTTAAAATAACTGTGTAAAGTAAGGAGCCTTTGTGTGATGGTAGCTTAAATTGATGTATTAATGTATTTTCTTAAACACTTGTGTAGCCATAAAGATCATATTGATTACTAAAGCCCAATTCAAATAATTTTACATAATCATTTTAAAAAAGCCATCAGGATATATCTTGGGTGTGCTGTGGTATGAATGGATCATAAAACAATATATGCAGATTCCTTAAAATAACAATTGCACACGATTTCATATTAGCCCTTTCTAAGAATGATATTGTAGTTATGATGGACCATGTGACTGCCAAGAGGCTGGAAGAAAACTGTTGGTTGGCCATCTGCTGGCTATTCATCTTTTAGTTATTCATCTGTTTTAATACCTCAGTGGTGTACTTGCCTCCTGTTTCTACAACCCACTATCAGTGGTCTACTTGCCTACTGTACCTGTAACTCCAACCCACCCATGAGGATGCGTGAGCAAGCACTGTTTATGCTCTCAAATGCATGTTGTGTGTCAGCACTCAGATGTCCATCACCAAGCATTCATATACACACAAACAAACACCAGCGCATCAATTGTCTGGTTAATTCCCTTTATTCCAGACTCCATCTTCTGCCTTATGATTATCTTTAATTAAATCTAAAAGATTAAAGTGCATCCAAACAATGTTCCATTGTCTCTGATTATAAGTACTTTAATCTTCCAAAATTCAGTGTTCACTCTATGACCACCACCTGTCACTCTAATAGCTCACCAGAAAAAAATATATAAATATATAATCTGTTCCTTGAAGACATCAATCAGATGAAATGCATAGGGAGGGGCCTATTGGACATGACATCATCCTGCATGCCCATATGTGAACTTGCAGCCTGAGTATTGCGGCTACCAGAAACCGGCAATGCAAATGTTACCTTTTTTTAAAAAAAAAAAAGACCTGTATTGAAAATTTGGCATAATAAAGAATAACACGCAACATTGAATACAACAATGGCTCACAGTGATGGAACCCTTTCAGGGGTTAAGGAATAATATAGGAACAAGGATTTGGCAGGTAAAGTAAGGGAGGGTTACATCAGTAAAACATGAAGCATGGCTTAACTTGACAATAGTACAGCATAGCAATTCATCAGATTATGCATGAAAATGTAACCAGTTACTAAAAAGGGGATGTACCTACAGCAAGGAGAAGCACATACAGTATTAAAGAGAAGTTAACTGCATCACTCCATGGACATTTCAGAAGCAGTGGAGGGCTCAGCTAACCATTTAGATCATACTCTATAGTATTTCCTAGTACATCCTCTGTTGATATAGGTATCTTTGTAGAGCGGTAGACTGTTATTAACCAATTGTTTCCAGAATGTGAGGGATGGAGGAGTGTTTTTTTTCCAATGCAAAGCCATAGCCTTTCTCGCATAGAGCAGAAATAACCAGAGTATGCTCAGCCACCATAGGCAGTTGATTTTCAACCATGCCCAACATACAGACAGACATAGAAGGTTGAAGAGGAACTGAGGTCCATAGATTTATCAGAGTCAAAACTTCCAGAAGTTAGTGACAGCCAGACAAGACCAAGAAATATGAGAAAAATCACCTGGGAGACCACACCTCCAGTATTCCAAGGGACATGAGAGATTCATCTTATGACGTCTATAGGGAGTGTAGTAGGTCCAGTGAACAATTTTGAATTGAATTAGTTGTTCCCTGAATGAAACCAGGGTTCGGAAGGGAAGAGCCCAAATATCATCCCAATCGTCATTTTTTAACTCTGGCATGTCCTGTAGCCCGAAGAAGTATATGGAAAAATCATTCAATGGGGATAATTATTCCCATGGCAACTGTCTAAGGCTAGGTTCACATCTAGGCAGATTGCAGTGCATGCAGTGTGATACATTTTCCAGGAGCATTTTGCATTTTTTTCACATCCGTTTTTTATTTTTTTTTTTATTTTTTTTATGCATTTTGCGCTTTGTGCTTTGTGTGACTTTTGCTGTTGTGATGGAGTGGTCATTAACAAGCAGTAAACAACATGGTTGTTAAAGCTATGGTTTTTTTTAGATATACTTCAAGAGTCGGTGTTCTGTCCTCATTACACAGCTTCCTGTGTGTGACTCGACATGCAGCTCTCTCTTGTGCAATAAGGCTGGCTGTGATTGACAGCAGCAGTAACCAATGGCTCCTGCTGCTGTCTCTGAGCCAAAAAGGAGGGAGAGAGCTGGGATAGCCACTGCCCTTGTGCACATCGCTGGATTGAGATTGGGCTCAGGTAAGTATTAAGGATGGGGCGTTGCATACTGAGACTATGAAAGTAAAAACCTTCAGCCTTTACAGCCACTTTAACCGAATCCACAGTCTAATACAATTCGTAGGTTTGAAAAATTTGTGGTTTCCGAATTGTGCATTATTTATCCCATTGCATCTGAAAATATTGAATCCCTCTGAATAGTGTTGATATATGAATAATGAATCAGCCAAAATATCGAATTTGAAAACTAATATATAGCAATCTTCTGAATAAACTGCAAAATTTTTCGAATCCACATGGACCAACGAATGCCAAACATAACCAAACAAATCCCCAAAATGAATCAGTTCAGCATAATGAATATGATGAAATGAAAGCCTTCAATGAACGAATGCATCCAAAACCAAAAAACAGTTTCCGGCATACACATGTCTAGTGAGTTCATCTTCTCTAGTTGACCATTGTCACCAAGAGAGAAAGTAATGTGAAATCCAAAATTTTTAGAGTTGTCACCACAATGTGAGGTAAGGGATAATGAAGACACTTGCTAAGGGAGGACAGATTTTGGAGAAAGTTCCTCTGTATTCCTGTTGTGTCTCTGGGAGAGAAAGTGAATGGAAATTTTCTCCAAAGCGACACAGCAACGAATAAACTTATAGGAGTTTTAATGATTTTCTTCTCTATCCAAAAGGAAACGTTTAAGCTATAGATACACTTTAAAGTTGATCTCCATGTCCCTTTAAATAGTTTGTTTAGGCTACTTGCGCTTGCTGGATGCACTGTATTAACTGTATATAGCCTCAGCTGCATAGAGTATGCAGCACTGTGTTCTGGCAGTAGGGCAGGGACTTGCTGCATCACTTCTGGAAGAAAACAGAGTGGGGCTGAATAGAAGCTTTGTATTCTATGAATAAATACAAAGCTTCCTCTGATTGGCTGAGGTGGAGATGTTGGCCCTTCTAACTCTCCTAACACAATGGAAAAAATCATACCAGCAAACATGCTTCATTTTCAAACATACAATGAGAAAATAAAGCTAGGAATCTGTCTGCCAATGGATCTATATAAGTTTTAAAATTTTACGGGAAGCCAGTACAACAATCAGATGATAAATATATGCAATAATTATCATTTATGTAATATGTATTTATTGCTAACTTGTCTTGTATGTGATGCCTTTCTCACACTGGGGACTAAGCTTAAGAGAGAGAGACAGGCAGACTTCAACTAGTTTCTCACAGCTTTGCAGCAGGCGGAGCTGCAACATACACAATGGGCTGACCCCAAAGCTCAACGACGCCTGGTGGAACTTTGTGAACTTTTTTAAACTCTTAGACCAATGTATTTGCTTATGGCTGTGTTACGTTGCACACAGGGGCAGACTGACAACTCATGGGGCCCCCGGGCAATAAGGGATCATGGGGCCCCTGTGTCCTTGCCCAGACTCAAAAAAGCCTTTGAAAAAGGTACCAGGGGCATCTCATGGGGCCCCCTACCGACCCCGGGCCCTCGGGCAGTGCCCTAGTTTCCAAATGGTCAGTCCGCCCCTGATTGCGCATAAATATTATGAGTGTAATAAGTGCAGAAGGATGCTCGCAAGTGCACTTTGTAAACACTGCACTTCCACCCACAGTCATAAACTTCACTTTCCCTCAGGGGTGGTGGTGCAGCACACTTCTAAAATTGTTTCATTGTTCTGAGACTATTATGCTGCTTTGTATAACTTGGATTCTGCCTCCTCTCCTAAAAGCTACTCACATATTGAGGCCTACCTTTCCTCTTCTGAATTTCCCACCCTATCAACCTAATTCCCTTTGAGGAACTACTGGCTACTGTGAAGTCCCTACTGAATGGGAAAAACCTGGGGTCTGACGGCTTTACAAAAGCTTACTACCTGAATTTTCCCCCCCCAGCTTGGTCCCATATGTTTACGTACTTTAAATCACTTGCCTCCAAGGGCCATATTCCTCAGGGGGACCTGCTAGCACACATCATGGTCCTTTCCGAAAGAAGGGAAGGACCATACCCTTCCTTAGAATTATTACCCAATTTCCCTACTTAACATCTACCTAAAATTTGCTAAAGTTCTCACCAATCAGTTAAAGCATCTCTCCTTCCTGTGATAAGCTCTGTGTATACGCTCGTGACGGTATCTGACACTCGGCTTGTGACTAAGCCCAATTCTCTGTGTTTCCCTTGATTCTGACTTCCTTTGCTGAACCCACGGCCCGGTGACCTAAATAATGCACCCCGACCAAACAGGATTTATAGTTGGACGAGAGGCCAGGGATAACTCCATCAGGGTGAACCAGCTTGTTAATTGGGCCCGTATGCATAATCATCTTTCTCCCAATCTGATACTTTCCACTAGTGCTGAGAAAGCATTTGATTGGGTTGATAGGAGCTTTTCTGGCAAGAGACAGGGGTGTCCACTTTCACTGCTCTTGTTTGCCCTGGTCCTGGAACCTTTGCTTTGGAAGATCTGAGTTAATTCAAATATTAAGGGACTCCCAGTAGGCTCAACAGAGCACAAACTCTCTGCTTATGTTGATGGCATACTTTTTCTTATTACTGACCCTTTTGTCTCCTTGCCTAACCTGCTGGAGCAGTCTCAAATCCTACCAATTACCATACCTCCTACCCTTACTATTGCTTTGAATAGAGCCTTCTCCTTCACCTGGACACCCACTTCTTTAAAATATCTGGGAATCCAACTCACTGTCCACATAGATTCCCTGTATGTCCATAATTACGCCCCCCTACTTGGTAAGATCCGCCACAATCTGTAGTCATGGGACAGAGCAAATTTTACCTGGATAGGTAGTACCAACATCATTAGCATGCCAAATTTGCCTAGATGGTTCATTCTCTAGCTTTGCCATCTTTTCAACTCGATTGTTTGGCAAGAGACCGCGACTTGCAATGGCTATACTTTAACAGTCCAAGCCAACAGGAGGTCTGGGCATACCTGATGTACAACAATATTATCGGGCAGTTGCGCTTCAGCAAATTCTTAACTGGTGGCTCCATGCTTCCTCTAAGCTTTGGGTTCCCTTTGAAAAAACTATGGTGGACCATAATTTATCCTATGCACCCTAGGTCCCATTGGGTGATAGGGGTATCTTCATTGACCATTCATGCTCTTAAAATCTGTGATAGACTGAATGGGTCCTTATTGCTGGCTCCCCAGTGTCCCCATTGGTACCAGTAGAGGTTTCCCATGGTTCCCCTCTGGAGATACGCTATCCTCTTTTGGACCTTGGGTGTAGGACGGGGACGTTAGTCTTTCTCATTTTATGGAGGGAGGTGCGTGGCTTCACTTGCCCCTCTTAAGGAACGGATTGGTGGCTTTCTTCTAGATTTATGGAATTAACTCCAGCTCCATCACTTCTTTTTTACACAGAACCACCTAGTCCAGATCAGGTCTACTCTCACAACTTTTGAATGCCTGTGGGCTGCAAGGAACCCTGTATCACAAATGATTTCTGTCCTTTATAAGTTGCTTACCTCAGCCTCCTCTAACTCTAAGCCAATATACATCAGGGAATGGGAACATGACCTCCGGTGTGAGTTTACTGTTAAGCAGCTGCAGCATCTATATCAATTAACGCACTCCAGCTCAATCAAATAATAAATTAATTAATTTTTTGGCACAAAATTAAATAATTTATTATTTGCACAAACATATGTATTATGAACTTTGGATATATACTGTAAGTGTTTTATGGACTGATAATTGATTATGTATTAAGAGTTCAGTATATACAGTTCAGGGCTCAAAATTTCAAGTCCTGAGACACTAACCAGACCTTAAGAGCTACTTACCTCCAGTTGCCCCGCCCCTAATTCTGCCCTTAAATACACCCTTGTAATTTATCTAATGAAATTACACTGTTAAATGTTTAATGCAGAATAAAGGAACAAAAATAAATATGAACAATAACAACTTTAACAATAATAACAAGCCATGTAAACATAAAAGGAAATTAGGTGCTTTACATCAATAGAGGAACAAAATGACACACAGCGCGGAGAGAAGCGGTGTGACGCATACTACAAGGAGAGAAAGGGAGGAATGAAGGAAGGAAGGAAGGGAGGAAGAAAGGTAAGGAAGGAAGGAAGGAAGGGAGGGAGGGAGGGAGGGAGGAAGGAAAGAAGTTTGGACTCACATGAATGGTTCCCGGCTCACTGTCTCAGTCAGAAGCATCACAGGGGGCCCAGAAAGAAAAGGAAATCTGATGGATGGTTGGGGATGATTGTTGCAGTGGTGGGAGCAGTTACAAGCACCAATCTGCCTGTATGTAATCCAAAAATTGTGTAATGTTGCGCCCCCTGTGATTATATATACTGTGCGAAAAAAACTCATCACCATAAATAAACAATAAAATAAATATTCAACAATATGCAGACTTTTTCAATAAAAAATCAGAACCAAATATTATATAATGTCCACATAAATTGTTCATAAACCGTGTACCACCTCCTAGGTTGTTATAAACATGCACACTGTGTATCCACCACCTTTCAATCCTGTGCTCACCTCCACTTTTTGACATGTCCTCCTATAGGTCACAAGTGCTTGTTTTCCTTTACTGGGAATCCTTGGATCAACTCCTCTCCTCCTTATAGACTCCCCTCACGTATGGTTTTCCGTCCCAAGGTCACTTAATAGTACGCTTTTATTCTTGGTGTCTGGCCCTTTGCCAAAACTTGCTTAGATTTTTCTTGTATCCCCGGAGTTCCTCATGAAGAATTTGCAAAGGCTGCTCCTTAGAACACAACCCTTAACTAAAATGTCATAGTGTTGAAGAGATCCACTGCAGTCTCTAAGTTCTTTAGAGAATATGTATTTGTTTAAAAACTTGGAAGGGAACTCTCAGCTAACTGGCTTATAAATTCTGTTTATCTGCAGCCATCTGTCTGCTACATCCATTCAAAGCACAGAATTTACACAGCATCTCTCAACTCTCTACCTGTATGGCTTTCAATGAAGCCGCTGGAAGCCCATCCTCCTCCTTTCCCTCCCGTAGCTTACAGCTGCTTCATTAAAAGTCATACACAGAGATCATTGCTTGTAACTGCCCCTATCGCCATGCCTCCCTCCCGGTCCTGCTTGCCATCAAGGTATTTCCACTCGCCAAATTAAAGCAGGCGAGTAGAAATTTTGAGGGCTTCAGTATATCATGTGCTATAAATTTGGAGATTTACAGATACCCAATCATCATGATGTAATTAATTGATTTTATTTACACTTAATAATTGCTCACATTAATTTCAAAAGAATTGTATTTATTTGATGAAACTCTTGAGTACTGCTGTCATATTCATATTTGTCTGTTCTGCCTTCTGATACCTGAATTCTTTGATTCCCAAGTCAGCCTTTCTCAACCTTTTCCACATGGAGGAACCCTTGAAATAACTTTCTGGTCTCAGGGAACCCCTGCTAAAAATTATTATATCTACAATTCATGATACATTAGTGTGATGGCTAGTGGGAAGAATGGTCCTTACGCTTGTGGTCACTGGTACGAATACTCCCATACAGATAACTAAAAAGATCAGTGGTATCAGTGGGAACTTATCTGAGAGGCATCCCTGGGGTACAATGGAAAAGGATCCCTGGTTGGGAAAGCCTGCCCTAGACTTTCACCCCATTTTTACTCAGCCTCCTTGTACTACATGCTGTCTAAGTTTCTTAGTACTTCCCTGCTGCCACACTGCACAGTGTACTGGATCTTGCAGGACAGTGCACAATCCTCCAGGACAGGCCTACAGGATGTGGGACACTTGCATGGACACTATGGTCAATATACACAGTAAGCAAAAGCAATTCAAAGCATTCAACATGTCATGTAAAAGGAGGAAAGAGAGCCACTCCCTAAAAAGTCAAAGCAAAGATTTATTTATCCATTTGGTGAACTGACAGATCCACTTGCTTCACAACCTCTAACTCATTTTACTCACTGAAGAACTTAAACCTCTATCTACTAGCCAATATTCTTTCTTTTTCCAGATTGAGGTATGCAAAAAATACTGCATGTTGGGCAGTAGATGGCACTTTGATCTAATGAGATTGTTCTATGACATAGAATACTGCATGTTTCGTTGTAGCTGAGCAGATGTGTGTGACATTCGTTCAGTGAACTATTTTTGACAGACCTCTATTTATTTATCTGTACTCAAACTTGCTGTGGTTATAATGTAACTGATCTACATGTTGATACAAAAGCAGTGTTTTCTTCCATAAATTTTCTCTTATGTATGTATCAAAATCATAAAATGTAAGATAAAAGCCAGCACTTCACTGTGGGACTGTTCAGAACAATTTATTAGAAACAAGGTAAAACATCCATCAGTGCAGCCTGCTTACACATTTCTGCCCAAAGGGTCCTTAAATTAGACAGCACGACACTACCTCTATTTAAAAGTGCCACCTAACCACTATGGAGTCAGACACAAGTGAGTGTTAAAATCAAATATTAAAAAAAATCAATGGCAATGCTTCAAACAAACAAA